TCTTTAATCTCGTCTCCTGTTTTGGGCCAGACCGCCCTCCCTTCTGCCCTGCTGAGTGGGTTTCCCATTTCTGCAGCATGGAAGATGGAGAGAAGGAAGACAAAGACAAAGAAGAGGAGCAAGCCGAGTACCTGTGGACAGAGGTGACAAAAAAGAAGAAGCGACGGTGTGGTCAGAAGGTTGAGAAGCCGGAAGCTTTCACAGCCAATTTCTTTAAAGGGCTGGACATCTATCAGACCAAGTTACTGGTAAGTGCTCTAGCCTTGGCCCTGTCCATGGTTCAGGCATTGGCCCAGGCAGATGGCAGAGAGGTGTCGCTGATTTGTTTCACTGTTTGGTCAGTGACACTTCCTTCCTTTCTCATTCCTACACTTTCTTCTTCCCATGTCTCTACCTGTTCCTTTTCTGTTGGAGGAAAAGAAAAGGGGGAGAGCCTGGAAAGAACCACAGTCCTCCAATAGCTCTGAAAGAAAAGGGGGAGAGCCTGGAAAGAACCACAGTCCTCCAATAGCTCTGCTATCAGCAAGATGTCCTCTGTCACCTGTTTCCTTACCAGGAGAGCAGGAACACCTCTTTCTACCTAGTCCTTTATGTCTATTATGTGGGGACTTAGCTGATCCTGGTCCAAAAGTTCAGAAGTGGTTTGATCATGTGGGAATCAGAAGGAATGTTCCTGTTATGTTAGCTTCCCACACTAGTCCTCCAAACCTTGACTGTTCTATAGGTAATCAAACCTTATAACAGCTTGTAATATTCTTTCTCTGATACATTGCCCCGTGAGGTATAGTGGCTGAAGGCCAGGACCACACCTTCCCTAGCACCATTGGTGAGGGCTCCCCACAGAGAGATTGGGAACTTTACCCAGGCAGCTTCCACTCCAGTCTGTGGATGCCAATTTTTCTGGGGAACGTGGCAGCGAGAATGGGAATGTTGCTTCCAACAAGGGAGAAGACGAGGCTCCTGGAAACTGGAACTCGGAAAGGAATGAGGACACATTGCTGCCTGAGGCCACAGAATGGCTACATCCAGGTTGGGAGTTGCCAGAGTCTTCTGCGAGCCTAGATTACTTATAATTTCCTAACAGATTGCTTGCTGTGAATACGCATACACACAGCACTTCAAGGCAAGGCTAGAGTCCTCTGCTGGTGACGTGTTTAGGCCTTTGGCTCCCTGAGCAATAAGCCAGAGCAGGATTCTTTATAGCAATTCTAAAGCAATTTTTTTTTTAATCAACATTTTGGTTCCATGTTCATGAGATGACACAGTCATGCCATGGCTGTGTTAAGAATGCCACAGTCGGCCAGGTGCAGTGGCTCATGCCTGTAATCCCAGCACTTTGGGAGGCCAAGATGGGCGGATCATGAGGTCAGGAGATCGAGACCATCCTGGCTAACATGGTGAAACCCCGTCTCTAGTAAAAATACAAAAAAATTAGCCGGGTATGTTGGTGGGCGCCTGTAGTCCCAGCTACTCGGGAGTCTGAGGCAGGAGAATGGCGTGAACCCGGGAGACAGAGCTTGCAGTGAGCCGAGATTGCGCCACTGCACTCCAGCCCGGGGGACGGAGGGAGACTCCATCTCAAAAAAAAAAAAAAAAAAGAAAAAAGAATGCCAGGGTTGCCCTAGAAGAGTAGTCATCCAAGAGAAGGACGAGTCATGTGTGAACTTCTAACCAGAATTGCCCTTCTGTGTAAAAGTAGGAAGTTCTCTTTTCCTTCCAAAGCTCTTCTACTTTTGCCTGTCCTTTTCTTTGCAGCATTACCTGGCCAGGAATTTCTACAACCTGAGGTTCCTTGCTCTGTTTGTAGCCTTCGCTATCAACTTCATCCTGCTTTTTTATAAGGTGACACTTCATTCAGGGGTTATTTGCTAAATATGCTGTATACTAAGTATACTATGTGTAGAAAAAGAATCATGACAGAACTTGTGTTCTTAATTGTAGCAAACATTCTAATAGGTAGCAAATTTCTAAGACATTGGCTTCTAAAAGGAATACAGTTTCTAGCAGTGGAGAGACCACTGACAAGGGAGCCAGTTAGGGGACTATTTCAATCGTTCATGCTTATTTTAGTTGTTACTTAAATTTAGTCTTCAAATACTTGCTGAGCATCTACCATGAGCTAGACCCTATATTAGGAACCACGAGGTATTTCAAAATGAATAATAAACACAATTCATTCTTTCTTCAAGGAATAAGGTAACCAAGGGGCATTATAGCTAGCCTATTTGTTAGAAGCGTTATAAAGCAAAAATTCACAGGATTTGGAAAGAGAGGGGACTGCTCAAGTTACACGAAGGTTTTGAACGTTGGCAAGTGGGTCTTGCGTGCTGTAGGCAGGTAATAATTGTTAGTGCAATGAATTAATGAAAGGCCCTGAATTCTCAACACAGTCTTTAACTGGCTTTTCTATCTCTTGCCTATCTCCCTTTCTACTTAAAACCACCAGTCTAATTTGTATGAAACATTGTTTTATCCACCTCAACTTTCCACTGGACAAACTAAGGACCTGCTGTTGCCCATAAAAGAAAAATGGAAGTCTATAGCCAAGAGAGGCAAAGCTTGGTTTTAAACACGTTGAGGTTGAGGTGACTTCAGACAGACAGCCAAGGAGACAAAGCCAGCAGTTGGAGCTACAGGACAAAGCCTCAGAGACGTAGATTTGAGAGTCATGTGTGTAAGAATAGCAGCTGAAGCCGTGAATGTAAATGGCATCTCAGAAAGAATGGAAAATACTGAGTCTCTGGCTGGGTGGCAGTGGTGGGTGGGGGAGCGGGCACACACATGCTTCGTGCTTGTGTGTGTGTCTCAGCCTCCTCTCAGGCCACAGTATGATCAGAGTATTTCCTTCTGTGGCACAAGGATTATAAGCCTATGTAGTAAGTTTCCTAATTTTAACTTTTTTGCTTTCTTTTCAAGAGATAGGTTTTTGTCTCCTTTTTAAAAGTTTCTTGGCAATTATTAGAGATACTGGGTGATTCCCAGTCATAAGTTACCTAAAAACCTCATTCATTCAGCCACTAATGTTGAGTCACTACTATTTGTACAGCATATGCTAATAATATAAAATATTTGAGGAGTGCCCAATGGCTGAGGTTCTTTTGATGTTTAATAAGTAAGTGTGTGTTTTGGGCCAGGTCACTGAAGAACCTTTAGAAGAAGAGACAGAGGATGTTGCAAACCTATGGAATTCATTTAATGACGAGGAAGAGGAAGAAGCGATGGTGTTCTTTGTTCTTCAGGAGAGCACTGGGTATATGGCACCAACGCTGCGGGCCCTGGCCGTCATCCACACCATCATCTCTCTAGTCTGTGTGGTGGGCTACTACTGCCTGAAGGTGAGCTGTTGGCCACTCTGGATCTAATCTGACTCCTTGAGGAAGAAGTGCCCTTTTTGAGCCCAGCCAGCCCTTTGCTCTAAGATGTTGCTATTTGTAAACATCTTTGTAAGTTCCGTGGAGCAGCAGCAGTGCATCACCTGGGAGCTGCCTAGACCTGCAGAGTCTCAGGCCTCATCCCAGGTCTTTTTTTTTTGAGATGGAGTTTCACTCTTGTCTCCCAGGCTGGAGTGCAGTGACACAATCTCGGCTCACTGCAACCTCCGCCTCCCGGGTTCAAGCCATTCTCCTGTCTCAGCCTCCCAAGGAGCTGGGATTACAGGTGCCTGCCACCACGCCCAGCTAATTTTTGTATTTTTTAGTAGAGACAGGGTTTCACCATGTTGGCCAGGCTGGTTCTGAACTCCTGACCTCAGGTAATCCACCTGCCTCGGCCTCCCAAAGTGCTGGATTACAGGCGTGAGCCACCGCGCCCAGCCCCCAAGTCTTTCAACTCAGAATCTACCACTTAGCATGATCACTGGGCAATTTGTACGCACTTTCAAGTTCAAGAAGCCTTGCGCTAGGAGTCCCATTTCAGGTACCTCTTGTTGAATTTCATAGAACTAGAGTCATCAGGCTAAGTCACACGAGAGCTAGTTATGAGAGAGTCTTCTGATCTTTGAATTGATATTGAAATTTTTATAAAAATACCTTTTCATTAGGCGGTAACCAAGATCTCAGAAGAAAGCTTACTGATGTGTTAGTTTTCAGTTATCTGTTGTTGCATAACAAACCACTCTAAAACTTAGTGGTCTAAAATGACAACTGCTTATCCCTCTGATTCTGTGAGATGACTGGCACATTTGGGCGGTTCCTCTGCTGTATGTAAAGGGGCTACATTTGCAGCCATTTGTGAGCTCAGCTGGGCTGGAATGGCCAAGATGGCACATTCCCATGCCGGGAAGCTCCATGGGGGGACAACTGGAAGGATGGACTCAGCTGGGGTAGCTGGGCCTCTCTCTCGCTCCCTCTTTCTCTCCTTGTAGATTCAGAGCATCTCCTTCTCCGTGTGGCCTTTCCACATGCTCTGTCCAGTGGGGTAGCTAGACTTCTTGCGTGATGGCTTGGGTTTCCAAAAAGAGCGTGGAAGTGGAAGCTGCTAAGCCTTCCTGAGTCTTAGGCCCAGAACTGGCACAGTGTCATTTCCATTGCATTCTGTGGGTTAAGGCAAGTCACGTGGCCATCCCAGATTCACTGCTGCACGGTAGAGGGGAGAGGTGCTACACAAAGGCATGAATTCCAGGAGGCATGGTTCCTTGGGGTCATATTCAGAACCACTACAGTTATGTCCATCTCCAGTCATTCAATTTTTGGTGTCCCAAGTCCAGTTCTAGTTCTGCTACATCATAATTGTGTTTTTCTCACTGCTTTGCTTATTACATGTTTTTCTTCCTTCTCTTGAGTAGGAAGTCTCCTTAAGTACAGCAAGCCATCTTCTTCCTGGGAAGAGTCCAGGAAATATTTTCCTATATTGTGGTCCTTTCTTCCCCCAGTGAACTGTAGTGTCATGTAGGAAGTCCAGCTACCGTGCTGAAGAGACCTTGTGCCCTGGGCCACACTAAGGACTCCATTGCAAATTCTGGAGCCAGGCTGCCTGGGTTGAACTCACAACTCTGCCACTTAAACTCCCAGTCCTCTATCTTCTCATCCGTAAAAATGAGTATTGTTATTTTCCCATCTTTCCTTTTGGTCCTTGAGCACGGGGGAACAAGGTCGTGAAAACAAGGTCTTGGTGAGGTGCCGCCATTTCATCTGTCCTCGGTCTGTGCCTTTCGCAGGGCTTCCAGCAGCGCTATGTTGGGCCAGAGTGTCCAGAGGTTCACAACCTCTGTGGTCTGTAGGAGCCACTATGAGGAGGGCCCTGGGAAGAATTTGCCATTTTCAGTGGAAAACAAGTGGGCGTTACTAGCTAAGACGTGTTCGTACTTTGGATCTGTATTTGCTACACCCTTCCTTCTAGTAAGACACCAACTGCTTAAAACATAAGGATGTTTCAGTTCATCCATGTAACAGACATGAAAAGCATTTTAAGAGATGCAGCCTCTGGAAATGGATCAAACTCTAACTCATATGGCATACTAGATATGTTTATCAATAAACTTATGACATGAATGCTTAATGCCTCTTTTTTGAAATAGGGAATGTAATAATTGGCCATTTGCCTACTTTGTTATTTGGGTAACATTCCAGTATTACTCTGTGAGTTAGCTTATTTAATGGTGTTAAACTGAGGTTATATTAAATTTTTGATTTCCAGGTCAGGATTTTATTGGTAATTTATATAATAAAAGGGAAATACAAATCGATCTTTTAAAAAATGAGTATTGTTGCTAAAGTTGCTGGGGCGATTAAATGTAGTAGTATGTGTAAATGTACTCAGAACACGTAGTAAACCCTCAAGCACGTTCGCTGCTGCTCCTTAGTTTGTGATCCTAGAGTTCAGCTTATTAGATGGAGTACAGATTATACTGTGACCTGGAGAAAACAAAAAAGAAACACTATTTAGCAAGTAAAGAATGTGGAAGTTCTCTTTATGAGAGTATACAAACTTCTAGAAGATTGAAGGGGAATGTTTGGAATCCCAGAGATGAGCACCCCTCTGCAACTTGATATTGCTGCTGTTCTTCAGAGTCACTCAGAGCACAGCAGGCCTTAGTCAGTCGCTGAGCTTTGCCTCACCTCCCACATCATCTGTGCACTAACAGTCATCATCAGGTCCTCACAGTGTGCAGTGGCTGCTAGCCTTGGCCACCTTCCTATCGTGAGTTTTTCAGTTTATCAGTGTTATTTCATTGTTTTAAAGAAAAACAGGGCAAGAGGTAACTCTTTACAAATCACTATCTGAATTTTGTTCTTTTGTTTTGAACAAAAGCGATGTGGGGTACATGCATATCATGGGTTTGGAGATGAAGGTTTCAAGGATGTCGCCAAGTAGCCAGTGGCATCTCAGCTGAGATGACGAGATGAGACGCCCTAGCTCTGTCTGAATTAAGCTTTTCTGGCTGGAGGAGCTTTGTCAGTTGTAACTTCTCATTTCCTAGGATTTCAGCAATATCCTCTGGCCTCATTAACTGTCCCATGCTTGGAGTGTGTGTGCACTTAGTGGTGGCTGGGGCAAGAGGATTATTTTCCAATCCCTTTCTGGGTTCCCCTTTGGCAGTAGGTCCTTATAGCCATACCACTATATCTAGTCTAAAATAAAAGTTCCAATTATAAAAGAATGGAGAGTGATAGTAGGAAACAAGTATGCCACTACCTGGAAGGAGCTCTTTACGGACAGAATCTCAGGAAGAAAACTTGAATACAGAAAGACCGAATCCTCTCATTCTAACTATGAAAGCATGTTCCATGAACTCACCTTCAAAGCTATGAGATAAATATGGCCCTGTACATTGAAGGGAGTTGGAACATTTCATCCTATTCCTGTGGCATCCATCCTGTAGAATGGTTTATTGTCCTTTCTAAATCTTGGTTCACCTCCAGCCGAGGAGTCTTAGGAGTCCTAACTCATTCAGCCCGGGCATGGCCTGCACACTGGCATCGGTCAGGGAGTCTAGTTTGTATGAATGTTAGCTGTCTAACTGAAAACTTAAAGGGTGACCCAAATTAGATCAGGTTTAAAGAGGTAGGGGTATTTAGCCAAAGAGATTCATTGGGCTTTGATCCCACAACTGGGCACCCTAATAATTCCACTATAAGGAGATTGCTGCTCTGAAGTTGGAAGGTTAATTTGTGACGAAGACCTGGGAGCACGTGCTTTAATCACAAAGCCTGCTCTGAGTAACCATTGTCTTCCCACTCATAGGTGCCTTTGGTGGTATTCAAAAGGGAAAAAGAAATCGCCAGGAAGCTGGAGTTTGATGGCCTATATATCACCGAACAGCCATCTGAAGATGACATCAAGGGGCAGTGGGACCGCTTGGTGATCAACACACCGTGAGTGTCCCTCTACCTCAACCTAAAAAGGAGATGGAGTCTCTACTGTAAATAGAGTAACTCTTTCCTCCTGGCCTTAAAACTGGTTAATACAAACTTTCTTTTGGTTTCTGGGACTTTTCTCCCTTGCCTCTTCAGTAAAGCCACTTACTGCCTATCAAATACTTGTATAGACTTCTATTAGTTTAACAGGGACAGAAGATATTATCGGAAGGTACTGCGTGTATTTGATTTAGACCAGACAGTCCAGTACAATATTGCTTAAACTAGTTTTCCATGTTCGAGTCACACAGTGTTTCCAGGCTTAAGTGGCCAAGGAGTCTAGAGATCCAGTTGATCAGCTTCAGCTTTTCCATAGCCTTCCATGGCACAGCACTGCTATAACTGTGCCATCTCTTAAGTCTTCTTTTTTTTTTTTTTTTTTTTTTTGAGACGGAGTCTCCCTCTGTCACCCAGGCTGGAGTGCAGTGGCGCGATCTCAGCTCACTGCAAGCTCTGCCTCCCGGGTTCACGCCGTTCGCCTGCCTCAGCCTCCCAAGTAGCTGGGACTACAGGCGCCCACCACCACGCCTGGCTAATTTTTTTGTATTTTCAGTAGAGACAGGGTTTCACTGTGTTAGCCAGGATGGTCTCGATCTCCTAACCTGGTGATCCACCCACCTCGGCCTCCCAAAGTGCTGGGATTACAGGCGTGAGCCACCACGCCTGGCCTGAAGTCTTCTTAACCAAATAGCCTGCTTGGTAAGAGACCTCCTCTTAACATAAGATTGAGAGGCACTTACATGGGCAGGTAAATAGAGCTGTCTGGTAGGGATGTGAAGACCTCTGGAGGCAAGCCTTCCTTCTCGTAGGCATGCAGCGCTGTGGTGGGAAGAAGGAAGAGCACCGATTGACAGGCAGGCAACACCAAGGCCCTGAAGCTTATTGGTCTGTGAACTTGCACAAGGTAATCAAGCCTTCTCAGCCTTAGTTTCCTCGTCAGTAATAGAGGGATGAGAATATCATCCTGCAGAGGATCAATGAATGTATGTGGCAAATGTTTGGCACATGCCTGGCACGTGGTAGGCATTAAGCTGTCACTCATTCCCTTTCCCCTAACTATCCAAAAAATGGCCATCACCATTAGCAAGTGTCACGCTCCAATGACAGTTGATTCACAAAGTAAGTGATACTTTCAAGATAAACTAATGTGGTAAAAGAAAAGAAATAGGGTCAACTATGTAAACAAAGGTGACTGTGTTGGAACTCAGGTGTGCCAGTTCAGCTAGGCATGGTAAGAAACAGCAACCCTGACTCCAGCGGAAGAAAGCTGTGTCCTCTCCAAAGATGATCAGGCAAACTGAGAAGCAGCTCTGCAAAGGTCCAACTAAGCATATTTCTTTATATTCTCCAGAAAAGGAAGGCTCTTCTCTTAGAAGGGGGAAAATGTGAACGGGCACATCCTTACATCCTAAGTCTGTCCCTGCCTGCGGGTCCCCTGCCAATCTTCTCACACAAGGAAAAGCACTGTTTCTGATGCTTTGTCATTACATTACAGAAGTCTTAGACACTATTAAATCCTTTGGTAAGCTTTGTGCAATCATCAGTAATGCTTATGTCTTGTTATACAAGGGGATATGGCCTAAAAGTCCCAGTAAGAAGGCAGTTCAATTTCAGCTGGGCGCAGTGGTTCATGCCTGTAATCCCAGCACTTTGGGAGGCCGAGGCGGGTGGATCACAAGGTCAGGAGTTCGAGACCAGCCTGGCCAACATAGTGAAACCCCGTCTCTACTAAAAATACAAAAAAAATCAGCTGGGCGTGGTGGTGGGCGCCTGTAATCCCAGCTACTTGGGAGTCTGAGACAAGCAGAATCACTTGAATCTGGGAGGTGGGGGTTGCGGTGGGCTGAGATCACACCACTGCACTCCAGCCTGGGTGACAGAGCGAGACTCCGTCTCAAAAAAAAAAAAAAAAAAGAAGGCAGTTCAATTTCTAGAAATGTATCCTAAGAAGATAATGAGACAAGTACGCTAAAATGTCCCAACAAAGGTATTTGCTAATATTTTTTACTTAGAGTGGCTTAAACGTCCATGAGTAGGAAATGCATAAATAAATAGCTATTTTTAAAATTTTAGGTAGACCACTGTTTAATTTTTTTCACAATGGCATCATAGTACACGTTCCTGTTTTGTAACTTGATTTTTTTCAGTTAACTATATGTCATGGAAGCTTTCTTTTTAAAATTTTTACTCTTATTTTGTTAAGCACACATAAATAAGAACATATAAAATGTATACGTACATTTTACAGTATAATTATAAACCAAAAAGGTTAAAAAATAGAACATTACTGAGAGATTCAAAATCCCCTGTATTATCCTCCCTGATCATATCTTCCCAACACACAGCTAACTACATTTTTGATGTTCATTAGTGGTTAGTAATATTGATTCTTAAATAATTAGCAATCAGTGATATTAGTGATATTCATTCTTCTGCTTTATAGTTTTCCCACTGAGGTATTTGTCCCTAAATATATTTTGACTCTTTTGACTATTTTGAACTTAATATAAATGGAATTATACTATATACATTATACTGTCACTTGAATTTTTTTAGCATTATGTTTGGAAACTCACCTATGTTGATGTATGTAGCTATAGTTTGTTCATTTTCAAAGCTGTAGTATTTTCCATCATGTATATTATCACATTTGTCTATTTTCCTGACGGTAAATATTTCAACTTGTTTTCTAAAGTTTCTGGCTTTTATAAACAGTGCTACAGTGAATATTCTTATACCTGATACACAAGTCGAAGAATTTCTCTAGAGTATAGACCCAGGAGAGAAATTTGCCGAATAGTAGGATATGCAAAATGTTTGTTCCAATTTATACTCCAAACAGTACTATATTAGTTTCTACTTCTCTACTTCTTTGCTGGCACTTATTGGCCAATAATTTTGCTGATCTAGTAGGTGTATAATGGCACCTCGTTGTACATTTCGCTGATTACTAAATGGGTTGAGCATCTTGTACTTCTTTCCTGAGCATCCATGTCTAGATGTACTACTTTATTTATCCGCTTTCCTTCTGAAGGTCTGTTCTCTATGCCACACTTTAAGGACTAGTAACAAGTAAAAATCTGTTTTCTACCTTCAAGGAGTTTGCATACCTAGTCAGGGGACAAGAAATGCAGAATGCTCAGGTGAAGGTAAGACCGTGTCTATGAAAGGGTCATGCCCAGAGCCTGTGGTCCTTGGCCCTTGGCCCTTCAGCATCACTTGTGGAATCTTGTGCTTAGAACAAAATGCTACCAGGCTGAGTTGTATGTTACAGACCCTTTGTATAAATGATTTCAGAGAAAGGCGGTATCAGTGTGTCAGAGAGAGC